TGACAGCAACAGAACTGTATTTTCAGACTTGCCGGGTTCCATTATTGTGGCTTTACGTTAAACTAGAGTTAGCTTATATAGGCTCGTTTTCCCTCCGGTCTATCCAGTAGACCTCGCCACCTCGTTTAACAACTGTTAGCCATTACGACATGGAGGGAAAAAGTGAATTTATGACCAATCCTTGCACTAGCCTTCACAGTTCTGTAGAGCGAAGCGGAAGTAAGATGGTAACATCGCCATTTTCCCGCTCGGCAGGCGCTTCGCTTAAACGGCCGGGCTGGCGGTCTTAATTGTAGTCACTAAGTGAGGACTGCTTGTCGTTGGGCATGCCGGATTTCTCCCCAGGCTTTGGAGGTGGGAAACAACCTTCTTTCTTTGGTTGTGACTGAGCAGCTGCTGTCAAAGCAGGAAGTCTTCCCGCTTAGAGACAACCCTTTCGCCACTTAAGGCGTGTAGCTCTTCCAAGCCCCAATGGGAACCTCTTCCCTTTCCCCTCTCCCCTCCTCCAGGGGCCTGATCCTGCAAGACCTGACCTTCGTGCACCTGGGAAACCCCGACTACATCGATGGCAAAGTCAACTTCTCCAAGCGGTGGCAGCAGTTCAACATCCTGGACAACATGAGACGGTTCCAGCAAGTGTAAGTCTTTTGTCGCTTTGGCTTCCTACCCATGTTTTGGGTTGTCCATGCTGAAGAAGATCCATCAGATCCGTCATCCATCAGGTCATGGTTGTTCCAAAGGTGCTTTTTTTTTTCAAGAGGCAACTGGACTTTTTGGGGTTTCTTGGAAGATGTTTTGGTTCTCCTCTGAGAAGCTTGGGGATTGGAAGAGAGTCGTTGAGGCCACTTGGAGGTTGCTCTGCGTCCTCAAGGTCATCTGAATGGTTGCCAATGGCTGTGGAGCCTTAGAACTGCTGAAAGGACTGTATTGTAGAAGGCTGCGCACCTATTTGCACTATTCAAGGGATCCTCAGGACACAGATAAACCTCCAAGTGGCCTCAACGCCTCTCTGAAAGGAGGCAAATGACCAGTTCTGTCTGCAAGGGGTGTCAATCCTTCCATTCTCCACCATCCACTCAGAGCTGAAGAAGCTTCTGGGAGGAGAAGCAAAACATCTTCCAAGAAAAAGCAGAAAGTCCAGTTGCCTCTTTGGAAAAAAAAAAAAAAAGCACCTTTGGGGCTGGGAGTGAACCCAACTGGATCCCTTTTCCCTCTGATCTTTGCAGGCATTACGATATCAAACGCAACGATGACATCATTTCCTTCTTCAACGACTTCAGTGACCACCTGGCCGAGGAGGCATTATGGGAACTTTCGCTCAAAATCAAACCCCGAAATATAACGCGGCGGAAAACAGACCGGGAAGAGAAGACTTAGAAAGGGGTGGGTGGGTGGGGGGGAAGCAGGAAGGCCGTGGGCATCCAATGAGGACTGGCACAGAGTTTCACAGCCTTGGCACTCTGCGCAGATCTCCATCACTTCCTGAGCGGGTGGTGGCGGTGGTGGAGGAGGAAGAACCTCTATGAACTTTCTCCATCACTTCTGGGCTGTTGTACATCAACCGCTTGGTCTGGAAAGTGAAGGACGGAAGAGAAGCCAAACGGGTGTCTTTCCACCTCGCCAAAAGTCAAGTGATACTTGCACCCGAGGTGTGTGTGTTTGTGTGTGTCTGTGTGTGTCTGTGTGTGTGTGTGTGAGAGAGAGAGAGAGAGAGAGGAACCAGTCAGCCTACATGTTTGCACACTCAAGCGGAGAAGGGAGACATGAACCTATGATCTCTTGCACGCCTGCCATGGGGGTAACCAACATGGATGGGTTTGGCCAGAGGCATTTCCTGAAGAGCGCGCCGAGGAGAAGCATTTCAGATACTTCCACTCTAGGAGAAAACCCGGGGAAGAAAAGCAAGGCAGCTTTGGAAGGGATGGAGGTGTCGACGCCACAACACCACCGGGTGAAGTTCTTCCAGAGCCAGAAGTGGCTGAAGAAGTTGTGGAGGGCTTGGATCCAGCTGTTCTTCTCCCCATCTCTTCCGCAAGTTTGGATCGCTTCCTCCTCCCGCCCGGAACTGGGGGCGTCATATCTCAACTCTCCACCCCGACCTCCGGATTTCCACCGGGGGGGGGGAGGGGGGGAAACGTCTTAAATTGGCGACGGTACTAAGTTTGCAAAGGCAGTGAATCTGTAGGAAAACACAGCCGCCTGTACATACGGGGTTGTAGGAGCGTGGCGTTTTCGTTTTCGATGTGCATGTTTGAATTACGCCTGTGGATTTCTTTTTCCTTCCTTCCTTTTTGTTTTTTTTTTCCCCTTTCTTTTCCCTTTCTTTTTCTTTTTGGAGGGCCGTTTTGCCATTCTGTTTGGGTTGTTTTTAGTTGGTTATTAATATTATTGTTATTATTATTATTATTATTTTGGCAAGGAATCATTTTTTTAAAAAAAAGGGGGGGGAAGAAAAAAGAAAAAAGGATAGGGAGGAGAGACAAAATGGATCTTTAGGCTGTGAAGACATCAGCCCAAAGTTACGACAGAACTCAGGCAGGCGATTGTGAACACAGTTAGGTCAAACCCATCGTGGGCAGAATTAAACCGGGTTGGTTTGGATCGTTGGGCTCCAGAGATAATGGCTAAACCTACATTTACTCCCACCCAATCATTAAAACAAAGAGGGAAATAGTCCCCTTGAATTTTCTCTACCACTCCCATGCTGCACAGCCTGCGTTTTCTTCTTCTCCGGCTTCCCTCGAGGCTGGAGAGGTTTCTAGGGCTCCTTCCATTCTCTGCTCCTTGAAATCAGATGCCCAGAGACGGATTGTTTCCAAAAAGTGGTGCCTTCTCCCCCCATTTGGGAGGGTTTGGGCTGCAATTTGTGCTGAGTTGCTTTGGTTTTTTTTTCTCCTCTTGCTCAGTGGCCAGAATTGAGATGGCCTTCTTCCATCCTCCTTCTCTTCTCCTCTTTCTTTTTTTTCTTCTCTATCGTCATCATCGCTTCCCCTTCTCTTTTTTTATTCTCTTTTCCTACTCCATCTGCTAAACCACCAAAAACATCGTCCCTTCTCCTTCTCCAGCCTCCTCTTCCTTTCCCCTCTCCTCCTCCCTTCCCCCTCTCCTCCTTTCCCCCTGTCCTCTTCCTTTCCCTTGTCCTCCTCCTCTCCCCTTCTTTTCCTTCCCCCTCTCCTCCTCCTCCCTTCCCCCTCCTCCTCTTCCTCCTCCTCTTCCCACATGGCTCTGAATGATCCCTGTTTCTGAATCTGACCCAAAAGGGCTGGTTTTGTTTTTCTCTTCTTTAATTCCTGCTAGTTAAAACAGGGACGACATTGTGTTTATTTTCTTGGGAGCAGAGTTTAACTTAAAGTGGAGTTCTGCTACAGCAGCAGTGTTTCTCAACTTTAAGAACTTTATGAGGTGTGGACTTCAACTCTCAGAAATCCTGACTGGAGAATTCTGGGAGTGGAAGTCCACATATCTTCAACCTGCCAAGGTTGAGTATCACTGAGTTAATGAGACCAGCACTGAGGAAGGAGGCAAAGGGGGAGAAAAGGGTAGGTACAGTTTGATTTAGGAAATCAAAAGAGAAACCTGAATTTTTACAAAATTGTCCTCAGTTATCTTAACTTATGTCTCCTGAGCCCAACACTGTGTATTTGTGGCTCAACAATGTAGAGCCCCAACTTGCAAATAAAAAAAATCTGAAAACATGTTTTATTGCTTTTTTATATTCAAGGTAGGGAAGAAAAAAACTCTAGTGAAAATAAATGCAGTGAAAGAACCTGTCACCATCAACCGCAGCAAGATTTTCAAAACTGTGCCCATGAAGTCAATGTGCAAAAGTAGTTTCACATATTCCAGGTTGAAAACAAGTAGTTGAAATGGGCATTGAGGAACCAATCAAAGAAATTCAATTTTTTTTTGCCCTTGCTATTTCTCAAATTTTGGGCACCGGTGCCATGTTGTAGAGAAGATTGTTCTCCTGGGCTCAGTCCGTCCATCCATCCATCCATCTATATCTCATCTGCCTACCTAGCTTCCTATCTACCTGCCTAATCTATATTTATCATTTATCTATTATTCATCCAGTCTACCTATCAACTATCTCATCTGTCCATCTATTTTCCTATCTACTTACCTAATCTATCATTGATCTGTCTGTCTGTCTGTCTGCCCGTCCATCCATCCATCTTTTTACCCAAGCAAGGAGGGAATGAAGATCAGTTGCTGGCCCCCTATTTACAGTTGTTGGTCAATGGTCACATAATGAACAGGAATGGGTAAAAATCCTTCCAGCATTTATTGTTCGTAATTGAGTATCTTCCATAAAAGTCAGTATGGAATTCCTGAGGTCTTCACAGGACAGTGCCCGTGATTTGGTCTCGATGCTTGAAGAACCCCTGGACCGATGATCGCTCTCCTGACCTGCCCCAAGGATAACATGTAGCTTCTCCAAGGAGAGTCTGGAATTTCCTTTAAACTTTGGACCAGGCTGTTTGTGGTTTGTTTTTTTTAAATAAGTGATGAGATAGCAATTAAGTGAGCCTCGGGAAGCTCCGAAAGAAGATATCAGTGCTTTGCACTATGAAGACATCCTTCCGTGGTGGTGATGGTGAGATCTCATCACTTTCTGTAGGACAATTGTTCCTTCTTGATGTGGCTGGGTTTGGAGAAGAGACAAAAGAAAGTGCCAGCATGAGAAATGGGTCCCCAAACTGGTTGAAAAGGATGAGGGCTCCATACCACAACTTTGTAGGAAACTCCACGGTCCATCCCAACCTTCTGGATCATAGATACAGGGTTACCACCACGTAGATAATCCAACTGAGGGACACAAAGAGACCGAAGAAGAGGCTGAACAAGATGAGCGAGTGAGCTTTGTAGGAAGCCCTCGTGGCTTGGATGAGGTCACCTCGTTTCAGAGCAGCCCGGGTCTACATGAGAAAGAAAACGGAGAATCTTGGATCAATTTCCACTGTAGGTGAGAAATATGGACCACTGTTCAACTTTTTCCTTGAAAGCAAGGCCAAGCACAGGTAATCCTCACCTTACGACCACAATTGAGGCCAAAATTGTCATTGCTAAGTATCCATCCACCTACCCATCCTCCCATCCATCCATTCACTCAACCATCCATCCATCCACCCAATCAACCATCCATCCATCCATCCACCCACCCACCTACCCATCCTCTCATCCATCCATCTCTTAACCATCCATCCATCCACCCACTCAACCAAACATCCATTCCCTCAACCATCCATCAACTCAACCAAACATCCACCCACCTACCTACCCATCCACTCAACCATCTACACTTACCCACCTACCCATCTCCTCATCCATCCATCCATTTTGTGACCTTTCTTGTTAGGTGAATCACCACAGTTGTTAAGTTAGCCCCGTGGTTGTTAAGGGAATCTGGCCTCCCCGTGGACTTCTCTTGTCAGAAGGTCGCCAAGGGACATCCCATGACCCCAGGATGCTGCGACCATCATAAATAGGAGCCAGTTGACAAGTGTCTGAATTTTGAGCATGCATCCGTGGGGGTCAAAGTGTGAAAGGTCCCCCTTTCCCCCCCTAAACCTCAGCATTTTCTTTGCCGTAGCAGCACGTACCTCGTGGGAATAGACAAGTGCTATCAGGCCCGTGAACAAGCAGCAGAAAATTGTCACTAGTACAGATTCCATCATATAATCTTTGGGTGGCAGCCTCTGGTCACCAACCAGGGGGCTCTCGCCAGGCCAGGCACCCTGGTAGTGAAAGAAGAGCCAAAATTCAACCATCTTGAACTGAGAAGCCCACCCAGCTCTTTATTGGGTCAATGTACAACCCCATCTTTCTTCAAAGGTTCAGGGTTGAAAACTTAGAGGAAAACTTTTCCTCTTTTCCATATAACAACCCTGCCAGGTAAGCTGGGTTGATAGATGGCAGCTGACTAGCTTCCCCAGAGTTAAGCCAGTACCTGTTTGAAGTAAGTTTCAATTGCTGGTGCTGCAAAATTCCCGATAAATATAAATTGGAAGTATAATTAGTGCCCCATTGGGTCATCTTTTCAGAGATATTGCTTTAGAGAGATAGAATGACTAAGGGTGAACCAAACTGATAGGAATCTGGCAGGGAACATCTGAAATCCCTCCCTCCCTTCCTCTCTCTCCTTCCCTCTTTCCTCTGTTCCTCCCTCCCTCCTCATAGCGTATTATCTGATTCTCTGATTCCCTCCCTCCCTCCCTCCCTCCCTTCCTTCCTTCCTTCCTTTCCTCTTTCCCTTTCCCTTTCCCCCTCCAATCTGCAAAGACCACTCCTTTCTAACACTGATGATATTACCTAGTTGGGTCATGAAACATCTTGCAAGAAAGCAACTAAGTTTAGAGAGCACCAAAGACCCCACCGTCTTCTTCCTCCTCCTCCTCCTCCTCCTCCTCCTCTCTGCACACTCCACTCCCTATTAGCAGTGATGATGTCATGAAACGCCTTGCAAGAAAGCAGCTAAGCTCAAGGACACACCAAGGAGCCCCCTGTTCAATCCTGAGCTACAAAAGTTCTCCCCTTATTTACAACTCACGATGGAGTAAGGACAGGGGCTGGAGAATACATGGGGTGGTTGGCTTAGGACCTGGGGTGCAGCTGTCGGCTGGTAAAAGACGCAGCTCTGTGGTGGAACGTTGGTGTGGAACGGTGGATACAAGTGGACGTCTTTTGGATCCGGTGGAGCATAGGGAGGAGGTTCTTCTACGAAGCCTTGATTGAGGGTCCCCATGTTCTGGAGATGATCTGATCCTGCCTGGTGGTCGGGCTTGGATGAGGTCTTCGGCTCTCCCGTGAGTTTTGTTGCATCCCCTGGAGAAGGTTGGGCCTCTCCTTCTCTTTCAACTTCCCTTGGGCCGTCTGGAGATGGGCTCGGATGGAGTTCTTCTCCAGGCATGTTGGCGCCCTCCAAACTTGGTTGCTTGAATGGAAAGAAGTTTCCACGGGTCCTATGAGGAAGCAACAGCCCCACCCGCAATAATGTTGATCATCAAATAAGCGTTGGTTTCCCTTTCTTTGTAAGTTGGATCATTTGCAAACTTTTCAAAGGGGAAGACGATCTAAACAAATGTAAGTATGTAAGGAAGTAAAGAAGGAAGGGAGGAGGAGGAGGAGGAGGAAAGGGAAGAAGAGGAGAGGGGAAAGGGAGAGAGGGAGAAAAATACAAAAGGAAGGGAAGGAAGGAAGGAAGGAGGAGGAACAGGAGAGAGTAGGAATGGAATGGAAGAAGGAAAAGGGAGGAGGGGAGAAAAGAAAAAAGAAAAAGGAAGGTAGGAAGGAGGGGTGGAGAAAAGGGAAGAAGAGAGGAAAGGAAGGACAGAAAGAAAATGGAGGAGGGGAAGAAAGAAAAGAGAACAAAAGGAAGGAAGAACAGTGATTTCACTCAACGGCAAGAGAGGTCGTAAAAGCGGGACAGAACTCAATTTGGGGCTTGAATTTGCGGTCATGCATAGGGCGGCGTTGATGCGAGGAGGTCCCGGTGGCCCTTTGACTTGGGAACTGCCCCTGGCTTCCTCACAGGTAGACTGCCCTGAGCCCCGGAGGCTCTGTTGCCAAGCCTCCTTTAGCATTGTGCACCGTTGGGTCTTAGGAAAGAGGGGAACCGCACCCAGAGTTTGTATTTACAAGGGAGGAGTTTGTGGCAGTTTACCTGTCTTCTCCCCGGCCTCCTTCCTCCTTCAAAGACCTGGGCACCTCAGCCAGGTAGGGGACCTTTCCTGCCTCCACCTGCCCCGGGCCATCTTCCTCACCCCAGCTGGATCAACAATGGCGCCCTGCCCTGGGCACCCGTAGGGCTCATCCCATGCGCCGAGATTCAGCTTCCGGGGATTAATCATTGATGGCTTGTTTGCAGAAGGGCAGCTGTGTGTGTACCAAAAGCCAAGGAGGTCGAAGGCCACTGCATATGTGTGTGTGTGTATTTGTGTGTTTTGTGTGCAGTGCGAAGCTGTGCCAAGATCCTGGCTCGGCTTGGCAAACGCCAGGGCGAAGGGCAACTACTCTGACTCCCATCCGGCTCAATAATCTGGATTTATTTGGGGTTGGATTGCGCGGACCTTTGACCCGTGCATAAAGTTTGAGGTACTCTCAACTCCCCCACGATGGGTTGCCAATGCGTAGCCACCCACACCCACAATGCACACGTCTCCAATATGCGGGATTTGCTTCTGGCCCAAGTTTTGCACAAGTTTAGCTGCACCTCCAAGATCATCCCTTCCAACTGTTGATTCTAATTCTATTCTATTTCTATTCTATTTTCTATTCTTATTCTTATTCTTATTCTATTCTATTTCTATTTTATTTCTATTCTATTTCTATTTTATTTTCTATTCTTATTCTAATTCTATTCTATTTCTATTTTATTTCTATTCTTATTCTATTCTATTTTATTTCTATTCTATTTCTATTCTATTTTCTATTCTTATTCTAATTCTATTCTATTTCTATTTTATTTTATTTTCTATTCTTATTCTAATTCTATTCTATTCTATTTCTATTTTATTTCTATTCTATTTCTATTTTATTTTATTTTCTATTCTTATTCTAATTCTATTCTATTCTATTTCTATTTTATTTCTATTCTATTTCTATTCTATTTTCTATTCTTATTCTAATTCTATTCTATTTCTATTCTATTTCCATTCTATTTCTATTCTATTTTCTATTCTTATTCTAATTCTATTCTATTTCTATTTTATTTCTATTCTATTTCTATTCTATTTTCTATTCTTATTCTAATTCTAATTCTATTCTATTTCTATTCTATTTTCTATTCTAATTCTATTCTGCTGAAAATTAGATAGCTAGACAGACAGACAATGATGATAGATATAGGCGTGTGTGTGTGTGTGTGTGTGTGTGTATATATATATATATATATATGTGTGTGTGTGTGTGTGTGTGTGTGTGTGTATTATCAAGGCAGCTAATAGATAGCAACATTAGGGTTCATTAACATGAAGATCAAAGCAAACGGGTACATCTTATGCTGACGCTCCACCCCTTTCCCGCCAAGCCCCGCCTCTTCCCCCCAATGACAGCCGGTCATGTGTGCGCTGGGGGCGGCTTTCGTTCGGGAGGACTCCGTTTCCCAGCAGGCCCCGCGCTCCAGCCACACCCGCGCGGGGTTCTTTTCCTTGCGCGGGGCCTGCTGGGAGGCGTAGTTTTTTTTCCCCCTCGTCGGCGGCGCTCGGCTTTTTGGGCACAGCCGGACTCATGGCCACCACGGGCGGCCACGCTTCCAACTGCAGCCCGGCCGGCGAAGCGGAGTGGCCTCACCCGCGGCCCTTCCTGATCGGGGTGAGCGGGGGCACCGCCAGCGGCAAGGTAAAGATGCAAAAAAAAAAAAAAAAAAAACCTCCACTCCCGTTGCAAAATAATAATAATGATAATAATGATAATAATAATAATAATAACAAACAAGCAAGAACCGGGGCGTGCAATGCATGCCCCCCCCCCTCGGACAGGAGAAAGCAGGAAAGGGGAAAAGGAGGAGGAGGAGGAGGTTTAAAATCCAGGGTAGAAAGCTCTGTTGCTTAGAGGTGTCAGGTGTGGGTGTGGGTTGTTTGCGTTGCCTTAATTTTGTATTTGTGTTGTCGTGTTTATGTAGCGTATATTGGAGGTGGTGACCGTTTGAGAGCTGCATGTAAACAACATTTCAATTTGATGTATGCCAATGATTGTACCTTCAAAGGGACAGTAAAATTATTCTGAGTCTAAGGCACTGAAGTCCTTTTCCAAAAACAGGCTTGGGATGGGCTTGACGGGTGTGGATGTCCTCCTGTTTGGAAATGACAGCTGCCAGGTTGTATTATCCTATATAATATGATACGGGATCTCCAGCCTCCCTTATGACATCAGGTTTATAATAATTATGGATGGGGCAAGATGCGATTTCCGTTCAGCTCCTGTATTAAGGGAGACCATTCTGGTTTCTGGCAAATTAATAAGGCTGCCTTCATTTGCTGCTCATATTGATTGTTCGGTTGAATTTATTATCAGTCAAAGAGGAGATTTGTAGCTCAGGGTTAAAATGGGGGAGGGTCCTTGGTCCTCTCTCAGCTGGGTTGTTTTCTTGCAGACATATCATGACCCAACTAGGGAACATCATCAAAGCTAGAAGGGAGTGAGGTTGGCTCCCTGTTTATATATACCAGTCATAAAGTAGGACATGACTCACTTCCTTTGCATCGGATGTTCTGGTCCCAATTTTGGTCGTAAGTCAAAGATGACCTGCACTTTTGACTTGGCTAACTTTCCTTCTTGGTTTGTCTGTCTGTCCATCCCTTCCTCCAAAGTCCACCGTGTGTGAGAAGATCATGGAACTGCTGGGTCAAAACGAGGTTGATCATCGTCAACGGAAGGTGGTCATTCTGAGCCAAGACCGATTCTACAAGGTGCTCACCCCAGACCAGAAAGCCAGAGCCTTAAAGGGGCAATATAACTTTGACCACCCAGGTATCTCTCGCACCACCGAGCCTTTTTCTTCTCTTTCCTTCTGGGCCTCTGTGAGGGCCGCTCAAATATTGGAAGATTTTACCCCAGTCCTTCTCTTTCTTACCCAGTTCCTGCAACCGTTCTTCATATGTTTTAGCCTCCAGTCCCCTAATCATCTTGGTTGCTCTTCTCCTCTTCCCGCTCTAGATGCTTTTGACAACGATTTGATGGAAACGACGTTGAAGAACATCATCGATGGTCAAGCAGTGGAGGTCCCAACGTACGATTTTGTGACCCATTCCAGGTCAGTGTCCATTCCCTGGATCGATCGATCGATCATCTATCATATCTATCTATTTCTATCATCTATCTATCTATCTCTATCTATCTCTATCATTTGGGCTCAGTGGTCAGTCGTAAGTCGAGAACTATCTGCTTTCCTACATACGCAAGGCAAACTCCCCCTTTGGATGGCTGATTCTCCCAGGATGCGTTTGTGTTGTGCTATGTCAGTTGGGCGATTGTTCTTCAGCGACTGTGTGTTGGCACAGGTTGCCCGAGACCACGATGGTTTACCCTGCCGATGTGCTGCTCTTTGAAGGGATCTTAGTCTTCTACAGTCAAGAAATCCGAGACATGTTTCACCTCCGGCTTTTTGTCGATACTGATTCAGACGTCAGATTGTCCCGGAGGGGTGAGAAGTTGGATTCTTTTCTTTTCTTTTCGATGCTTAGGAAATCATAGAGACGGTCCTTCTTTTTAACTTTCGTTTTCCTTTTGTGTTTTTCTCTCCTTCCGCGGCAGTCCTTCGAGATATGAAACGAGGGAGGGATCTGGAACAGATTTTAACTCAATATACGACGTTTGTCAAGCCTGCCTTTGAAGAATTCTGTTTGCCGGTAATGAAAACTATCCCTTCTCCTTTATCCCAGGTTTTCGAGATAAGTCATCGGAGGGATTCACATGGTTTCCCTTAGTGACGCGTCCCTTAACAAGCAAGTTGCCAGGCCCAACTACAGATGCTAAACAAGGATAATCTTTATATGCAGGTAGAATTCGAGTTACAACCATTTTTAGCGTATGTTCAGAGTTACACAGGCACTGAAAAAAAAAGGGACTAGCAACCAATCCTTGCAGTTATCGCAGCATTCCCCACAGTCATGTGATCAAAATTTGGGTGCTTGGCAACCGGTTTGACAGGTAGTCCTCAAGTTACGAGCCCAACATTTAGATTGCTAAGTCATTTGTTAAGTGAGTTACTTCCCCCACCCCAATTTTACGACTTTTCTTGCCATAGTTGTTAAAGGAATTGCTGCGGTTCTTAAATGAGTCACACAGTTATGAAGTGAATCTGGCTTCCCCGGTGTCAGGTGGTCGCAAAAAGGGGACCTTAGTGAACAGATCGTAAGTATGAACCGGTTGCCATGCACCTGAATTTTGATCATGCGGATGCTCCGGAGTGTTGCGGTGTGTCTAGAAGCGGAGCTCTCGCCTCACTCTCAGGAGGGCTGTGAGTTCAATCCTCGGTGGAGGCAGAACTTTCTCTCTCTGGGCACAATGAGAATATATCTGCTGAATATAACTCCGCGTTGGTGACAGGAAAGGCATCAGGCCAGTAAACACTCAGCTCCATTCAGTGGCCCAGACTCCACCCCTCAAGGGATTATGGGGCCGTTAAATGATGGTGGTGGTGGTGGTGGTGATCACAGGGATGCTACAAAGGTGTACTTGTGAGAAATGCTCAGCAGTCACTTTTTTTCAGTGTCGTCGTAACTTGGAATGGTCACTAAACAAACTGTTGTAAGTCGTGGACTACCTGTAGCATAAACTAGAACAAGTTGGAGCTTACTGAGAGTGCCTTTTAAGAAGGAATATAAGCCATGTTTCCTTTCTTCTGGCTGATGACTTCTGAGTTGATGCTTGCTTAGACCAGGTTGTCGGTGATCTTCCTCCTTCCTTGCAGACCAAGAAATACGCTGACGTCATTATCCCGCGAGGCGTGGATAATATGGGTAAGGAATGTGTGAACTTGATAGAGAATTTTGCCCACTTCTCAACGTCTCTTAAACTGGGGTTGCCGTCATCTTCATCGGGAAGAGGAGAGCAATAAACAGTGTCCCCAAATTTGCAGGTTGCTAAAAACCAGAGATAGTTTAGCAGAATGAGAAGGTACGTGTGTGTGTGTGTGTGTGTGTGTCCCCTCGGTGCTCTCTCTGAGTTGGTGGTTTGTGTCCCGACCCAGCTCCCCAAACATCCCAAATCCTCTGAAGTAAACTCCAAGATTCCTTTATTAGGAACGCCGGCAGCCCTGGGCAAAACTTTTCTCTCACACTGCGGGTTAACAAGTCG